TTTTCCTTTTATTGCTTAAAATTTACACAACCTTTTTAATAAATATGTATTACCATTTTTAGAAGTAACGTCTGCACTGCCTTTCAAAAAACAATGTGAGCTGTATTGTCATTCTTTTATTAAAAATGCAAATTTTTATTTTATATTAATCTGCATTATTTTTTAAAAACTCTATAATTAATTTTTAAACTTGATGACATATGTAAAGAAAATAAAATACTTACCATACAAGATTTTAATTCAAAATAAAAATCAAAGCATATAAAAGGAACATAAATCTAAACCTTTGACATTTTAGGAAACAAACACTGATTTATAGGATAGCATTACAACGCATACGAAAGAAACGTAGAACCCCATTTGCATGCATTTAAGTTGTCACCTTTTTGCAACAAATGTCAGCAATAAATAGATCGAGATTCCGGTGAGAAGAACCACCGTCTTCCACCGCTCTTTTGGCTGCCTCCATCAACTCTACTGCCCTTTTTGCCATTGCCTTTGCTTTAGGGCCATCGGTCATCTCCCATATGCATCTCTCCACTTCTTTTGAACTAGCAACTCCATTATCTCCCTTTCTCATCCTCACACCCATCTTGAAAACGTCCGTTAACAATTTTGCATTTGTTGGTTGATCCGTCCACTCCGGAAATGCTATCACAGGAACTCCGGCGACCACCGTTTCAAGCGTTGAGTTCCACCCACAATGAGTTAGGAAGCAACCCACTGCTTTATGCTTGAGAACCTTGTTAGGAATACCAGTACTAAATATTAAATATTTGCGAGACCATATGATAATTGATGAGTCATGTCCTAATATTTGATGTTTTTTTCTTCTTTTTGATTAAAAGGAATTATATTTGGTAGGGGTTACCGATCACTGACAAGAACAAAATGTTAAACATGTTAGATGAACACGACTTCGACTTCACACAATAATATGATATTGTCCATTTTGAATATAAACTCTTGTGGCTTTATTTTGGAGTTTTTCAAAAGGCCTCAAATAATAGAGATAGTATTCTTTGTTTATAAACTCTCTATTATGTTTATAAACCCATGATCCTATTCTAAATTAGNAGAAGCTGGTAGCTAATCATTTATGTTCCCTATTTCCCACATGCTATTGAGAGACAGGGTGGCACAGATTGTCCAAGGCTCTTTAAACTTCTCCAAAGAGGGAAAAAAAAAAAAAAAAAAAAAAAACAACAAAAAAACAAACCTGTTCTTGAGAGCACCAATTCACGACGAGTGCCCTCCCACCAGCAGCCTCAAGAAACCCATCCGGCAGCCGAACAGTGCAACCCTCAGTAGATTTCTCAGGCGATGGTCGCTTGAACACCCAAAGAAACGGCTTCCCACTCATCAACAACCCATTAGCAATATTGTCAACTTGCTCTTGAGACAAAACAATAATACTCCCAAACGACACATAAACAACTGACCCCATGTCCCGCCCATCCAGCCATTGCAGGCAAGAATCATCCGCCTTCCACATGTCTGCGCTCAGCCCACCCTCCCCCACTTTCTCCTCCTTCCCAAGCAAAAATGGCGATACTAATGGTCCGATTGGCGAAATCATCGGCCGAACAACCCCACCGTTCATGGACCTCAAAACCTCCTCCTCCAGCTCATCGAACGAAGTCCCCAAAACCCAATTCACGTCATCCAAGAAGCTGAAAAACTCTGAGAGGAGTTTTTGGAAGCAAAGATAAGCGTTGAGGTGGATGAAGGTAGGGAGGTCTTCGAAGTTGAGTAATGGCAGGCCGGGTAATTGGAGAGGCTGGTTCTTATTTTGTAAAATGGCAAACTCGTTGAGTTTGTTGAAGAAGCGATAGTAGATGGAGTAGAGAGCGCAAGGCTGGATCCAAAGCACGGCGCAAGGGAGGTTATTTTCTTTAGCAATGGGTATGAACCAAGGCACAAATTGGTGGAGGATTAGGCACGAGAATTTTATACTTTGGGATAATTTGGCAATGAGATTTGAGAGGTTTTTGCTAGCTTTGGTTCTTAGAGAGTCAATAAAAATGTCAGAGTTGGCGTCCCTGTCGAAATCAAGGTCGAGTCCATCGGAGAAGAACTCGAATTGGATTGATGGGTTGGTGGGATCGGAGGTGGTAGTGTGTTCGAGCATACGGTGGCGGGCAAGGTCGGTGGTGGCAATGGTGACATGAATTCCCTTTGAGATGAGGCATTTGGCGAACTTGAGCATGGGGTTCAAATGGCCTTGTAAGGCAGCTGAGGCCATTAGAACATGAATGTTTTGATGGAGCACCATTGTTTTCGAGCTTTGCTTGTTTTGGGTTGGAAAAGGTTTAGGAGAAGTAATGAGTTTATATACAACTAACTTGTCTTTTTTTTTTTTTTTTTTTTTTTTTTTTTTTTTTTTTTTTTTTTTTTTTTT